GTCTTGGTCAAGGTCAGTCTCGGTCTTATTCTCATCATATTCCATTTTCGGCTGGTCAGTTTCTATGTAAGTCAGTTAAGACTGGATCGACAGATCATGCATCTTCATCGAATCAGGACCGAGACCAAGAGGTCCGGTCTCGATACAGGCTAGCAATAGACCCAGATGGGATTTTTAGACCTCTAAGTTATGAAACTTTAATTATTCATGCTGACTATGAGAAGTCTAAAATTTTTTCGGTTCATTTTGTAAGTGATACACGCTCTCTTCTGTTTTAGTTCCAGTCAATATCTTAAATGGCGCCAGCAGCAAAGACTGCAAATAATAATAAACCATCAAAAAAGTCAACAAAAAAACGTATAATTCTTATACCTGTTTCTGAAGAAAATAATGTTGATGATACTATCAATGAAAATATTATGGAACATGCACCAGCGTCATCTTCGTCTTTGAATAAATCAATTCCACCTGCAGCATCAGATACATCATATTCTAATCCTTTGTTATCAACATCAACTGAAATATCTAATAATAATAACGATAATTTACAAGATACTTCTGTACGAAAAGAATCATCGGTATGGCACTTTGCTATACGTCATGAGAATAATCATACAACAAAGTGCAAACTTTGTAATATTATAATCAAAACAACAAATTGGTCAACAACCGGTTTGAGAAAACATCTAGCACAAGTTCATAAACTTCCGGCATTCGAACCTGCTTTATCAACAGAAAAACCAAAAATATTCAATTCTTTAAAAAAAGAATTGCACGATTTAGTTATTAATTCAATTATTCAAGATGGAAGATCGTTCAAGGATTTTCATCGTCCCGGAATGCTAAACTTTTTAAAAAAGGCTATACCTGGTAATTATCTCATTCAATATGTCATAATTCTACGTTTATCTAGCTAAAAATCTAATAAGTTATTATAACAAAGGATTCAAATATGATGTATCTGATGCTGCAGGTGGAATTGATTTATTCAAAGACGAAGATGACGCTGGTGCATGTTCCATAATATTTTCATTGAAAGTTTCATCGACATTATTTTCTTCAGAAACAGGTATAAGAATTATACGTTTTTTTGTTGACTTTTTTGATGGTTTATTATTATTTGCAGTCTTTGCTGCTGGTGCCATTTAAGATATTGACTGGAACTAAAACAGAAGAGAACGTGTATCACTTACAAAGTGAACCGAAAAAATTTTGGACTTCTCACAGTCAGCATGAATAATTAAAGTTTCATAACTTAGAAGTCTAAAAATCTCATCTGGGTCTATTGCTAGCCTGTATCGAGACCGGACCTCTCTGTCTCGGTCCTGCTTCGATGAAGATGCATGATCTGTCGATCCGGTCTTAACTGACTTACATAGAAACTGACCAAGACGAAAATGGAAGAGAGAACAATGCATTATATGAAACTGTAATGTAGACAACATGAAAATTAGATCCAGTATGAACTATCTAGAAAGCTACTGTTTTCTATTGTCCTGCTTACCTTGAGTAATTTCAATTGCTCCTTT